CAATAAATATATAAAAACAAAAAAATTCACCCAGATACAGTGGAGATAGTTTAGAATTTACTCCTATACTTGATGTGTGTATATACCTGCTACCGCGTTTAATGACGTAACTACACACGACCATACACCACCACAGAACCTTATGATGTGAATCATTAGTTCAACTGGCTTGGTCTGAAGGATAGCCTAGATACGTGGTAACGTGTTGTTTCTGGCTGTATCCGTGCGCGCGTGTTGGCAGAGGAGATGTGACATGTGAGCTCACTGGACTGTGGCAAGTGCATCCTCAATGTGGTGGACACCATCCAATGCTGCCAAGGCGACGTAGAACAAAGCAGCTAGCAACGCAGGTGGGGTAAGCTGGCTTGCTGGTCTTCTGATTCTTTTTTCTCCGTGTGGATGCCTTCGCTTCTGTTCCTCCTGCCTTGTGGACATCAGACTCCAGGCTCTTTCAGCCTTTTGGACTCTTGTACTTAACCGGCCAGTGTTTACAGGGGCTCCTGGGACTTCGGCCAGACTGAAGGCTGAACTTTTGGCTTCTCTGCTTTTGAGGCTTTTGACTCGGACTGAGCCACTACTGGCTTCTTTCTTCCCCAGCTTGCAGATGGCCTATTGTGGGACTTTGTCTTGTGATTATGTGAGCCAATTCTCCCTAATAAACCTCCTTTCATATATACGTGTATCCTATTAGTTCTGTCCCTCTGGAGAACCCTAACACCGAATGTACATATGTATTACTATGACTATTGCAAATAATGACAATATCTGGTTTCCTATGAGTTATGGGTAAGTTGGAAGTCAATAACAAGTGAAAATATACTTTTAATGTAACATGAAATAAAATAATTTTCAATGAATTTAAAAAATTAGAGTGAATTAGTTATTACAAACTCTAAATAAAATAAAATTTAAATATCTTCAATAGATTAAACACAGATTCCCAATGAAAATTTGGATATTCAAAAAGAAGACTTAAAGTAAAGGAATTACATGGATATACTTAATTGGATATTGAACAGTGTATTAATGATAAAGTTTCCAACACTGAAATAAGTATTTATATTAGAATTTGGGGAGCAGATACAGGCTAATTGGTAAATGAAATAGAGAGTAATCTTACTTTGTTTGTACTGGTATAATAAAATATCACAAACCAAGCAATGTATTAACCATACAGATATATTACTCACAGTTCAGAGAGCAGGGAGGCCCAAGATCAAAGTGCCAGCAGGTTTGCTGTAAGTTGTATTAAATTAACAAGTTTCTATGTGGAAAGTAAAAATGAAAATGTCTATTATGAAAACATAAGGGAACAACAGAATTTAAACACTTGGTAGTGTTCAATCAGAATGTAATAAAAATTAAGTTATAATTAATACCTGTGCTTACGTATTTCCATACAATTAAAATACATAAGGATAATATTTTAGATATTCATCATTATATTAAGTGTAAAGTATTTGAATGTAAAATCAAAGAATGCATATATTCAGTAATAACTGTTTGTTGTCTTTATGAGGCATTCCTTTCATGTAAGCATAAAGAAAAATGAATATAAAAGTAGAGCTACCATGTGATCCGGCAATCCCACTCCCAGGTATATACCCAAAAGAAAGAAAATCAGTATAACTCAGGGATAGCTGTAATCCCATGTTTGCTGCAGCACTGTTCACAATAGCCAAGATCTGGAAGCTACATGAGTGCCCATTAACACATGAATGGAGAAAGAAAATGTGGCATATATAAACAATGGAGTAATATTCAGTCATAAAAAGAATGAGACCCTGTCATCTGCTACAACATGAATGGAACCAGGGGTCATTATGTTCAGTAAAATAAGCCAGTCACAGAAAGACAATCATCACATGCTCTCACTTACTTGTGGGATTTAAACATCACAATAATTGAACTCATGGAGAGAGAGAGAGTAGAAGGATGGTTATCAAAGATTGAGAAGGATAGTGGAAGGACAGTAGTAGGGATGTAAAAATGCTTAATTAATGGCTATAAAAATATTTAGAAAAGATGAATAAGACCTAGTGTTTGATAGCACAACAGGGTCACTACAGTCGATAAGAATTTAATTGTACATTTAAAAATAACTAAAGAGTATAATTAGATTGTAACATAAAGGATAAATTCTTAGGGAGATGGAAACACCATTTTTACATAATGACATTATTATGCATTGCATGTCTGTCTCAAAGCAGCTCATGTGCCCAAGAAACATATACACCTACTATGTACTCACTGAAATTAAAATTGAAATATTTAAAAAAGAAAAGATGAAGATAAAATATTTAAAAACATATACCATATCTCACAAACTGGTAGAACACTATTACAGTTAATGTGCTGTCTTAATATAAGGCAAGCCCTTTACTGGAATTGAAGAAGCATGCTTCATAATGTTAGATTAACTTTCTAAACCACTAGTAATATACATTTTTATCATTGCATGTACCTAATGATACAAGTTCAACATATGATTGAAGAAAGTGAATAAGTAAACAATCATAAATGGGATTTTAAACACTTTTCTCTCAGTGCTTAACACATAAACAGACCAGGGAGCCTATAGAAAGATTAGAACTAGACAAGTAGTTATCACTCATAGGCACACACTCACACATATGTAGCATACTCACATATTTAATTTTACGTATTTTTCCCAAATACACTATAATCTCATAACTCTAAGCATATTAGCAAAAAATATAGGACTACGATTTCAATGTAGTACCACTAGCCAAGCTTGGCCAGTGAACAGTTAAAAAATAGATATTCTAGTTCAACTTTAATTAATATAAAATAAATACCATGTAAAACAAGTTTCTCAGCACACTAGCCACATCTTGGTATACAAAGATGAAGAATATTTCCAGCTTCACAGAAAATGTTCTAACTACAGTTTACCTACGATAG